TGTAGACTTTTGTTAGCAAGGTGACGTCTCTGTTTTTTAGTCTGCTGTCCAGATTTGCCAGAGCTTTCCTTCCAAGGAGCAAGCGTCTTTCAATTTCATGGCTGTAGTCATCGTCCGCAGTGATCTTTGAGCCCAAGAATAGAAAATCTGACTGCTTCCATTTCTTCTCCCTCTATTTGCCAGGAAGCAATGGGGCCAGTTGCCAAGATCGTAGTTTTGTTTTATTTTGTTTTGTTTTGCTGTTAAGCTTAGTGGTTTGTAAATTCAGTATGAGTCAGCCAAGAACTCATCTCGTCTGATTCTGCATTAATAGCAATACTATATTCAGAATGAGGGGAGGGGGGAAGGTTACAGTTCTGCTGAACTCTGGTGTGGTAAGGCTCCATCTGGAGTACTGTATACAGTTCTGGGCATCACATCTTAAGGAGGATTTTAACAAGCTTGGGAATGTCTGGAAGAGGGTGGCCACACTGGGGGGTATACAAAGGGGAAGAGCCTGGGGAGGGTCACAAGTTCCATCTTCAAGTATCCGAAGGACCGCCATTTAATAGAGAGATTAGCCGTGGTCTTGTAGGCCCCAGAGAATGGTGATAGGAGAAAGGAATGTGTGCAGGAAGGTTCCAGCACTTAGAATTGCCCCCCAGTAGAAGGGGCTGCCTCTGGAGCTGGGGCATTCCTGGGTATTGGAAATCTTCAAGGCAAGAGGAAGAGAGTGGGTCCACCTGGGGGTGGCAGGGTGGGGAGTGCGAGAGGAGCGATTCTTTAAGTCACCTTCATTTCTGAATGTACCCATCTCCCCATTTGCTTCTGGAGTGAGCCATTCTTGTGTAACCAAGAATAAAAAAGAAAGAAAAGAAGCTCAGGAAAACCCAACCAGCTCATCAGTTGTATCAGACAGTGTGTGCGATGTTCCTCGTTCATAGGCCCCCACCACAGCCCACAAAGAAGGGAGGGAAGTTTATTGTCCTATCTCTTCTCCATGGCTAAGTTCAGGTACCATCATTATACTGCTCATTGCTCTGTTCTTTCCATGTACAACGTCTCTTGTACGTGCCCCTCCTCCTCCTCTGCCCCACTCTGGTGCAGGCCCTCACCGCCTCATACCTAGACTATTGCAGGAGACGCTGGGGGGTCTGCCGCTCAAGTAGGTCCCGCTCCAGTCCATCCTCCACTCAGGTGACGACTTGACTTTTCTAAAGTACGGCTCTTATTCGGTAAACTCCGGTGGCTCTCTATCCCCTCCGGGAGCAAATACAAAGTTCCTCCGTCATTCAAAGCCCTTTGTAACCTGGTCCCTTTCAACCTTTCCCGTCTTCCTGCACCTTATTCCTTCCATGTATTTTGTGATCCTGCAGTGCCAGTATAAGAAGCTTTGCCCCATGTCCCCTGAATGCTCCCCTTAGGGCCTTCCCTCTGCTGATTATCCCATTTATCCTGTCTGTATCTTGTTTTCACAGAGTTGTTTGCATGTGGCCTCTCCCATGAATCATTAGACTGTGAGCTCATTGAGAGCAGGCAATGGGTTTTTGGTTTTTGGTTTCGCCTTTCTTTGTCTCATAAGGGTTTAGCACAATGCCTAGAACCTAGTAGGTGCTTAATAAATGCTTGTTGACTGACACCATTATAGTCATCACAGCAATATTGTTTTCCTGGGGATACTTACCTCACAGTTCATATTTGTCCTTCTGTGTCCTAGAAGAGACTCTTATTCCTGGACAGGAGGCAGTAGATGAAGGTCCTTTCTGCTCTGTGATAATATGCATAGTTATTATTGGGGGGAAAAGATGTCTTAACTGTCTCTGTGGTGTTTTTTTTCCTTACAGGATAGCTCATCAGTCATCCAGTTTGTGACCCGAGCCAAAGTGAAAGTGGATGCTACTCTCAGGGTGGTGGAAATAGCCAACGGGAACCCAGAAGAGGTCATGGTGAGCCAATAAGCCCTTTCCCCGCTTGGTGTATGTCAGGAGGTGGATAGTAGTTCTGATGAGCAGCTAAGCCAGGAGGTGGCTTATTGAAGAAGTTTCTGGTGGCCGTTGGTCCCCAGCCTGGGGCCATTTTGAAGTAGCTCTGTGGCCACCACAGTTCTCAGGGACATTGTCTCAAAGCTGCATATGCACTGGAGGGAGCCAAGTGCCCTTGCCAGACTTTAGATTTCCACTGCGAGGCCCAGAAATATGTTTACCCAGCTTAGTCTGTTCTCTGAAACCAAGGCTCTGCTCCCAAACTGCATCACTCGTGGATTTTAGAACTCATTGTTTTAATAACTTGGAGAGGTCACGTCTAAGTAGCCAAGCAGTAGATACTTCTGTGAGGGTCCTGCCCCCTTGTTCTTCGGCAGTTGTGGCTGGCGTGAGACCGTTGGGGTTTCAGGGCTGAAAGGAGCCCAGGACGGTGTGTGGGTGTGAGAGAGTCTGAAAGGGAAGTCTGCTCTGGGGGTCCCGGTGCTGATTAGTTCTCAGAGAAGGTCAAGATCAGCCTTTGTTTGGTGTCCACAGACTGAGAACGTCGGCAAAATTAGAAATCCCTTAAATAGATCATGGGATCATAGACACAGGCTGGGAGAAACATTGGAAGCCGATTAATTCCCCCCCTTCATCTTACAGATGAGGAAGCTGTCTCTGACAGAATAAGATACTCACCCAAGGTCCCACCAGTATTAAGTGTCTGGGGCAGAATGTAGAGGACAAAGCTGTTCCCTGGAGGTGACCTCTTTGGACGCGCTCAGCCCGAGGTGGAGCTATCTCCTCTGCAGCAGGGCTTTTCTAGCTTGTACCCGTGGAAGTCCTATAAGCTTGAGTGCCTTTCCCTCACATGGTTACAAGGAAAATCCTCTAAACCTGAAAGCAGTGTGTAGATGTGAATTATTGCTGTGGCTGTTATCATTGGATTTCAGGCAGTTTGAATGAATGGGCCAAGGGTCAGTTTTCTGGATGTTAACTGCATGGCATGTGGGAACTTGGAGTCAGGAAGGCCTGAGTTCGAATCCCACCTCAGGCACTTCCTTACTAGCCCAGGCCTGGCCAGGTTGTTTTGCGTCTCTCACCTCTCACCATCTGCCAAAGGAAAAGCATCATTTCCATTTTACTGACTTTGCCTTCCAGCGTGGTTGAAAGGATCATGGGAGATAATATATAAGAAGGACTTTGCAAGCCTTGAAGTTCTACCTACAGCTCAGCTATTGTTGTTACTGTTATTATTGCGTGGGGGGGGGAGACAGAGAGAGAGAGAGA